ATTAATAAATTTGATTTGTTTATCAAATCAATAAAAATCCACAAAAAATACTGCTCTATATAATAACGATTGTACCGAATTATTGTATGTGATTACGTACCGCAACATTAATCAAATACACTTACAACCACTAAGTGTTCCAGAGATGAAATATTTCTATAGTATAGTCGAAATAAGAAGGCAAAGTCCCCAATAAATAATGCACACTAAAGGCATATCGTTTTTCTCGTTCTTACAAACGGAAGATATCCTGTCTTTACTCTCTAAACACGCCTCCTCCACAGCAATAAAGTAAAGTAAGGAAGCTAAACTAATTGATGAAGTCCTTAAAGAGAACGGCCTGGCCGATATAAAAAGGACATACGCTATTCAAGAGGTAATACCCTGCTCATTGTAAAAAATAGTTACATTCATGATTTAATAATAAATCTGTTGGAAATGTGCCTGAGTTTTTTTTAATCAATTCCTTCCGTTTTTGAATAAAACAAAAATTGTACGTGAATTTACCAAAATAAAAGTAAAATAGATACATATGAATTCGTTTGTTAACGCACAATACAGAGAGATTCTTGTGCTTAATGTAATTGGCATTGATAATTTAGTGTTACTTGGATAATCTTGAGAAAATTTTCCAAAAGTAAAAAGAAAAATTAACTGTAGCCGAACCTAAATGAACGCTGAAAAAAATACAGTAAGGGCATGCTTCCCTGATTGCTATATAATATCATGTTCGTAAACGAGTTTTTAAAATAACTAGCTAGAACTACCCTCAACGGAGTATATTACACACCCGAAACTCTCTTCACACCCTAAAAGATCGAGGTGCTAGCTACTTTTCTACATAAAACGGGTTATTTGGCGAATTACAATCCAAAGAATCGCGAGTTTCTACAATGGTTTGGATTACAGCCAACACCGCATGTGGTTTTCATGCTCCTGGAACTCCGTTTTGTCCCGGCATTTTTAGTACCCAAAGAACATATTGTTGTATGGTATCTATAAAATTATATTTAGGTAATTTGTACAAAATTGCTACATCTGAATTAGTTATTTTAAATTGCAAGCTAACACCAACTTTCCCACTCTGTCATTGGTCATTCAGCGACCGTTTAAATAACGGCATTAATGACAATAGATGAGTCGAGTCGAATCGAGTCGAGAGACGAAAGTTACGAGTCGAATTCAAAATCGTGCAAATGCAGGGTGGTGAGACAGCATACCGTCTTTACTCGTCCTGTGGTACTTCCTTGTCATTTCCAGGTTCCCCAATTATCAAATAAGCTAGACTAAGACTATCATTTTATTATTACTTAATTATACTCAAATTGATGACTAGTCATTCTTAATTGTATCTTACAAATCGCGAGTTTCTGCAACACATCTGGTGGAAACTACAATAAAAACATGTCATTGATACGAGATAAAATTTTTTTAGGTTTATAGCTCCCTAAATATCTCAGCAATCTATGTTACTGGAGCGCAGAAACAGTTCCCGGGAAGTAAAATAGCAAGTCGGAGATGGTTTCGACTAGATTCGCTATAAAATTCGGGTTTTGTACAAGTTTGCGTTTGCAGACTCAGGACTAGCTAAATATCCTGTAATCGCTTGAAAAATGAGCAGCACCACACAGTTGTAAAGTGGAAAAACAGCTCCACAATAGCCTGCGCTTCGCTGGTTTATGTTTAAGAATATATACATTATCAAGAGACTGCGATGTATCAAAACACACAAAACATATAGATCTATAGTTAAAAAATTATTACTACATAAGTTTTCATAATACACAGGCTGAAGGATGAGAGATGATTGCACATTTCCGGTAGAGATAAAGCATATACTTCAATGCCTACCTAATAAGATTAATTAATTTGCTTTGTTTATCAAATTTAAAAAAATTCACAAAAAATACTGCTCTTTAAAATAACAACTATCGAATATATATATATATATATTATATTCCAAAATTGGAACAAAGACTTTTTAAAAAAGTTTATTAATACAAAGTACAAACAATACTAGGTCTAGTCTTAAGCTAGAATAACTACTCTATTTTATGAACGGCTTTTATAAACTATATCCTGTAAATGCAATGTCAGCAAAAGATGTCTTTATGAATCACACTATATCTTGCCTTAACACCTCCCCCATTAAGAGAAAAATTTATTATTT